GGGTAGCAGGAGCAGCATCAGGTGCAACAGCAGCAGCAGCAGCAGCACAGGTTGGCTGGCAGGCTGACCCGTGTGCGGGGTAACCCGCGCACGGGGAAGCTTCACGGGTTCGAGTCGCCAAACATTAAGCAGCGGAGGTGTGCCGAGGGGGACCGGGAGGCGGTAAGCCGTCGTCGCCCGGCGCTGCATGCAGCACCGTGGCGATGGCGCTAAGAGGTTCCTCTTTTCCGCGCCCCCCCCGCAAGGCGCGCGATACACACAACTCGGGGCACGGGACGCGGCACAATTTCGGTCGCCTATCTCCTATTTACTTGATAAACCAGCCGAATCCATCCGTGCGCCAGCCGAATCCATCACGCAGTTCGTGCACGGTATTCGGATTTTGCTATTTGTTCGTGTGGGGGTATATTGCAGATTTGTCAATGGTACCGCGTCTGCGACGCGGGCGCCTTGCGAGCAGAGCCCTTAGCCACCCTTCATATCTTGCGCGGTCAAAATCGCAGAAAAAAAACTGAAAAAATCGGCGCCTGCGGCGGGCCATGGGGCCCCATCTCCCCCCCGCATGGACACCCTGTGGGGCCCCCGCGCCGGCCCAGAGAGGCTAGTGCCATTTCACTCTGACACGCTAATCTTGAAAACGTCTCCCTCCGTGACCGTGTTGCTTCCAGCGCCCTCCCCCGCGCTCCCTGCGGCCATGGCCGATGCTTCTAGTATGAGAGGTCATCTGGCTACCGCGAGAGCGACCCAACTCGTCGACATCGTCCGATGATGGTGCCGCAAAGTCAGCCTTCGGAGGCTATTTGGGTTCGAGCCGGCAGTAGCCGTGACATGTGGTTCCACCACCCCTCGTAGGCTTTGCCTCTGATCGCCACCGTTCCCAGGCTGCCTAATGGGATGGAAAGGAAGGCTCGGCGAGCGTATAGAAGCGTTCTCGACCTCGTCGTGGCAACCTGTACGGCAGCGCTGGTAGGCGCGATGAGCGTCGTGCCACCTGACCCGAGACGGGTCGCAGGCGTCGTACCGAGCGCGTCGAGACCGTGTCCTGATGTGATCTGCACGGGTGAGTCACGTCGGCGTCAAAGGAGCGACGTGCGACCTGTCAGAGCTTGATCTCCGGTCTCAGCGGCGTCGAGTCATCTCCGGCGCGCGACAAAGGTACATCCACAGGAGCGCAGAAAGGCAGCTGCGAC